ATGTTTTAGCTGCCTACAGTAATGTTGAGGTAGTTTTCATTTCACAGTTCCTTCTTTAAAAATGCAAAACAGAAAAAAGAGTTTTGACCACACATGTGCCCTTAAAGTGATCTGCTCGACTGATTTGATTGACATAAACAAACGCAAACACACAGTCTGTGCTTTTTTTCTGGTACAGATAAGAGTTGTCAAACAAATAAACCCACTCACCCCTGAAAACAACAGAGGGGGTTCCTCCCCAGTGAGCTGTCTCAGAGTACTTATCAGATAGTTATCATATAAATAGATTTGCAAACAGTGGGAGCTGGGGTCTTTGTCTGGCGAATGTGCTTAGCCTCAGTCACTATTTGTTGATGGAAGTGACAGTTTTTTTCTTGATGGGTAACAATCAATGTATCTAAAATTTTATGAAGGTTTTAAAGGTATCCAGAGCTTTAGTAAACTGTTACCTTCTTGTAAACCTGAAAAACTAGTCATCAAAAAAACACAAAATAAAACTGGAGTAAACAGCAAAGCAGTGCTGGGATTCAAACTGCTGAAGTGAACGCAGAAATACACACTGAAATGCTTTCCATAGAAGAAATGAAATGTGATATTATACATGTATTTTATATATAATTATATTCAGATAAGAAGTTGTTTTAAGCATCTTAGAGTTACCCTCATATTCTGGATGTCTTTTAAGCTATTTTTGATGTTTGGTAACATCCTGAAATAAAATGGTTTGGCAGTTTCTGCAAATCAAAGGTAAAACTATCATTTCCAAGGGTAAATAACCTTTTACAAATCAAAGTCAGAGACATCATTTTATCATATTTAACAGGTGTTTTTTGTAGAAGTCCAGTCAGTGTACTTTTGGTACAACAGTTCTAGTTCAGCTGCTCCCTGATTCACAGGGTCACCACCGCAGGTACATTCTTGTTTGTTTTGTACATTCTTGGTAGATTTTTACACCGGATCCCCTCTCTGACAAAACCCTAGACACGTTTTGTGTCAGAGTTGGCGACCTTAAATGTGTTCAGCACTACACTGTGAGGGAACTAAAATAAAGTCAGTGTAGGTAGTTTGTTAAAATACTTGCCCAGATTGAGCTCTAGAGGCATTCAAAGCTACGAAGTGCTGTTCAGATGGTTTCAGTGTGTTTGTTTTCAAAAAGATAAAATTCAAGCACTGCAAAGACTGGGGAGAAGGGACTTTGAGGGATATTAGATTTTATAGTATAGAAATAGTAGAGCTAGTACTTTCAATGTTTGAATCGGAGACATATATCCCTTTTGGGGTTCAGTCAGGGCATCTGGTATAAACATCAAGCTTGTGGAGCTATGTTTAAGGAAAATTAGTTTTGTTGAGACAACGCCGGTCTCTGCGATTCTTTTGGTCCTGGTAGAGATCAGGCTGAGATGTTTCCATGTTTTACACAATCCTTTTATTACCCATTATTCTTACAGATGCATCTGGAGATCAGCATCACCTATGCTAAAGGCTGATCTAAAGAACTCCACACAACAGTTACAGTTATAACCTCTGGTCTCCTCCCCCCTACAGTAAACACCCCCACAATGGAAATACACTAGTACAGTGGCCAAGGGTGCTCACACCCTGACCCCCACCTCCTTTTGTCTGCTCCCCAGCCTCAGTAACTTTTGCTTCATGCCCTGGGGGTGGGGGTTGATTGTCCTTCTGCCCTGCACCTCAGTTCCTTGTTCCCATCCCAGGCCTATTTTCTATTTTGTATCCTTACACCCATTAACCACAATATTATAATGTTGCAAGCAATCACAAACTATATTCTCTTTAACTCTGATATATATTACAGAATCTATTCTCAACAGTTTCAAAGATTTTTGCGATGCCTCTTGTGAGGTAGAAGTTTAAGTTTCAGGTTTAGTGAATGAAATTTTAGTAGTCTATTATACTAGGGTGACTAGATCTTACTCTTTATCAGGTCTGCACTGTGTTTTTATCCCCTTTTGGCTTTTAACCCGTGGATATGAAGGGGAGTCTTTTTATTAGAGGTATTTTATATACAGAGCTAATATGATATTTAACAGGCTGAGATGCATATAACGGGTATTTGGGACTAATATGAAATTAAAATGACATTTTAAAGTGTAATTTGTAACTGTTCCCTGGTGTAAGTGAGCTTCTGTACCTTCACCTACGTAATGTTTACCTCTCACCCAGCGCTTTGACTTCAGGGCTCAGTGGCGTGGGCTGAGCACTTGTAAAGGGGCGTGACAGGTGATGAAGTAACAAACAGAGGGAATAAATTCTTTAGTATGTGTGCGGTTTGGCCACGAGGACGGTAGAAACTGAAAAATTTGTGGTTTCTGCTAGCTTATCTTTGTTTCTAAGGCTGTTGGTTTTGCCGTGTCCGAGCTAGCATCAGCTAACACTCAGGTTTTCAAACTCCAAACTGCCGAGGACAGTTTTCCGAAAAAAGAGTGGCATTTTTAGATAAACTTTCAGCAGCAAAGGAGCCTGAATCACTTTTTGAACTTTTTATAGTTAGTAAAACTTGTTTTTTTACTAGTTCGCCATGCAGAGCCAGAGCAGCAGGGCTGCTACACAGGAGTACCCGAACCCTTTCATTCATGAGCTGAAGCTGACCAAGGCACAGTGGATCAAGGTACTCATTACATGTATTGATTTTATGCTTGGAAGTAGGGCAGGATGTCAGGCAGACCTACTGCCCTGCTTTAAACAGTTAATCTTCTGCTTAACCAGAGACCCTTGCTAACTCTGGGTTTGTTTTGTTTGTTTTTGGAGGTTATAAAGGTAATCCACGAAATGCTAATTTATGCTACCAGATGTGATAGCCTGTTTTATTTTGTTTTTAAAGCTCAGTTTCCCACATATTTCTGCTTAAAATGAACTTAAAACATAATCAGAATTAAAATAATCAAAATCCAATTAAATAATCAAAGTGAGTAAATGAAACGGGAATGTTAGATGGATATTTATTTATTGAGGAAAATTATCCATTGTTATTAGAAAAAGTATGTAAAAATCTCCTTTTCCGGTCCTTTTTTGTAACTTCCTCTGTAAATATAACATTATTGATCATTTCAATATTTCTGCTATAAGTAGACAAGTCTAATGGCACTAAAAATGTTTGTGAGATCAGGTATTTGGTCATTTAATTATTCAGAAACATGTTTCATAAGCATGGTCTTTTTCTAGTCTAAATATAACTAAAAGTGTCACCTAATTTTTTGCCCCTTTTTTTTTGCACAAGTAGATAAATCTAAACAAACCAAACTGGAGAAAGTATATCAAAAAACAGTTTTGGTATGAATTTCTCAATTAATGTAACCTGATTTTCCCACGCTTTTACTGTAATTAGTAATCAAATTTAGCAAATAAAATTAGTTAATTACTTAATAAGTATAAGGACCCAATAGTAATTACCAAAAATTGGGAAAAATATCTAAAAAACTTCTATTCTGACCTTTTTCTCTGAATGTATAACTTGATATAACCTAAATCATAAACTAATTTTTAAATATTTTTGCTGTAAATAGATTAAAAACTAAACAAACTGAACAGATGAAATAAGGCTGAGGAAAATGCTCCATTGCTGCACATTAGTGATTTTAGTGAAGTGTGTCTCTAGGAGTAGCAGTGAATTTAAAGGTCATATTAGAGGTAAATGCTTTGATTGAGGGATGGGGTGAAACGATTTAACTTTTAGGTCTGTTCTCAGACTGTATGTTGGTGACTTTTTTTTAAGACAAATGATGTAGTGAAGGTCAGACGTTAAATCTTTTGTCAGGTTTTTCATGGTCAGATCTACCCATGCCACTTATCGAGACTTATAGACCTTTTATAATGGGTTATACACCAAGTCACATTAACCTGCTAACATACAAACTCACATCTACTTTTTTAAA